ACATTGAATGGGACTGTTCATGGCAAATAATAAAAGGAATTACCTCAGCATACGGCCTAAATTGTTAAAATGAATGTTATTGTGTAGTAAACGGGAACTTGGTTTTAATGCCTTATCACTGTAAAAAGTCTTATGACTGGATCTATTTATTTTTTACCTTTCCAATAAAACTTAAACTTCTTATTTTAGCAATTATTAGGACGACCCCACAAGACGGAGCTTATAGTTTTAGATCGTGTATAATTAAAAGGTAATGTACTATACTGTTCTACATAAAAGGAAAACATTGCGGGTAATCCAGTGATCTTAAAAAAAAATTGAGCGACACTTATAAATATGAAATAATTAGTTCCGTTTCTCATTACATAAACAAGTCAAATTACCAGCATCTTTAGCCACAAACACTGCAGCAAGAGCCACTGCACCAGTCAACAGAGCAGAAAGAGAATCCAAGCGTACACCAAGCCAACGCTGACTGGCTAAAACCATAATGTATGATTGAGTGTGAATATCTTGATGCCTAAAAAACAGCAAAAATAACAATGAAGATATGAAACGTTTTTATCAGATCTTAGCATACCACCATTTGGTCTCAAGTGGCTCAAGTGGAATGGCCATGCTTAAGATGCCTTAAAGCCACGAAAATGTGACATGAGTGTGTGCTTTGCAAAGCATTTTGCACTGTAATGTCGACAGCGTAATTGGGGTGATTAAATAACATCAAGATACTGCTGAATAAATTTTACGACATGAACTGCATGAGTAGTTCAAGAATGTAACGCTATTCGGCGGTTTTTTTTACAAAGGAATTCGTTATATCGTGGACTTACTTTACTCTCGTTACTGTATACTATACAGAGTGAGTAGATGTAATAACTATGTCTACTTTCTGTTGTGTATCGCTGGTACCAATTTGCTCTAGGCATAGTTAATTGGGTGGAATGGTTATGAAACCCGTCAGACTCCTTTGTTATAAGTTTTTGTGGACCTGAAAGTGCACAACGTTCAAAAGAATTCCTATCATTTTGATTGTATTGACCAATAAAAACGTTGCATTAATTTATTCCGCAACAATTTGCCAACAGAAAACAAAGGATTGTGCACTTTCAGGGTGTTTCCAACATAAACTGCAGCACTGTTGTTTTTATCATTGATGTTTGCCGCTTTTCATAACTAGTCTCCTCTAATAACTATGCTCTAGGTTAGTCTGGACATTAATCCGATTGGAAATTGCTCGTCGGAAATTCAACCAGATGGCTTTCCTACTTTCTGCGATTCCTTCGTTGTCCAGACTAATTTTCATTCAGCTTCTCATTTCGAGCACATTAAGCTCGTATAATAAGGTAAACAAACAAACAAACAAACAAACAAAAAATAATGATTAAACTGAATTTATTGGAAATACCTGCAAAACTCATCTAGGAAATCAGCTTCTCTATTTCTTGTCCGAATCGTCTCTAGTCCATCTAGGGTCTCCGAAAAATGAGAATAGACGGGGCTGCGAGCAATGGACTCAATCCTCTTTAGTTCCCTGGAAGTCTTCAAGTAATATCTTGAGATGACTCCAGCTAACACAGCAACTGGTACCACAGCAAACAGAAGCCAAGGGTTTATGACAGTTGGTAGAATTATTGACGTGAACATCAGCAAGGTCCTTTGGATTGCTTTCAGGGACGTTTTGGGTAGTACCTCATCGATACAACCCACATCTTTAGAGAAGCGATTCAAAATTCTTCCCACGGGATTTGAATCAAAGAAGAAGACCGGTGCTTGTAGAATAGCCATAACCATTTTAGCATGAAGACGCTCAGAACATCGCAAAGATACCAAAAAGAACCCAAATATCCTACTGAAGAGAAGTATGAAAGATGCCCCAACAAGAGAACCGTAGATTATAAGGTTTGTATTATTCTTTTGATCTTCTGGATGCTTATTTGTCAAAAGTGACAGCCACACATCGCAGGAAACCATCATTGCTGAAATGAATATCAGGAAAAGAAGGGTCAGAGACTAGTGTGCGTTAAAAGATAAATTTCTGTGTCTGGACAGGAGGTCGGCATTAAATTGCGAGTTAAACAAAAGCAAAGCGACGTGTTAGGCAAGTTTGCTAGGATACAAATTCTCAACTGTATGAACAATCAGCTGTACAATATATCGCTTTATATTTGTACTTGTTTCGTGGATAGTCTGGATAATCTAGCTTTACAATTTTAATTTTCATGTAAATCCGTTTTGTAACATACGAGTGCTATAGGTTTCTGTGTCTCCAAGGGTGCACCAAGAAAAAGAGTGGAAACGGCAAATTTAATCGCTCCAAATACGAAGTTTTATCCCCCTACACGCAAATAGAACCTGCTGCTATTCGACTATAAACCTACAGATGATTCTCCGTCTCAGGTGACCTTGCAAAAGCATTTCGAAGTCACTCACGTTTAGAACTGACCTTTTAAAACAAGACATAAACAACATAAACTCAAACACAAAACAAATATTTCTTCAAGCACATGCCGAAATTTTGAAACTGACACCTAAAAATTTTGTTCTACATTTGTCAAATCTGGTCTCCTGAATTAAGCTGGGGAGATCTGAGCTCCTCTGCCAATAAGAAATGTTGCTTAAGTTGAATGTCTTTAAAGAAGGGCAACGAAAATTTATGGTGAACTTGGATTGGAAGGATTTATCCATCAGTTATCACGAGAGGCTTACTTAAAACTAAAGCCTTCTACTTATCTCTTACAGTATGTATTCACAAAATTACAGATTTTCTGTTCTTATTTTGATGCCGATTTGATGGGTACAGTATCTGTCTTGTCGATTTTGTGCAGCAGAAGAATACCTCTCGTTCCACTCGCAACTACACAGTTTTAGGCATGCAGTTGCTAGGTGCCACACTCATTTTCCAAATGGAAAATTTGCTGGCACCTGATCGCTCTCTCTCCTCGGAGGTTAATGAACACGGAAAGTGTGCTCTAGGTACATGTAAGTCATACGACGTCTACACTTTTATTACCTGTAAATCAATCTGCCATAAAAGATTCGCTATGTGTAACATTTTACAAACAAAAATCTCTTGCACCAAATGTCTGGTTGAAAGGCTTGTAAGAATGGTAAACCATGCTTAAAAAAATATGATTTAAAAACAATGAAGCTTAAAAAACCATGATTAAAAAAATATGATTTAAAAACAATGAAGCTTGGTTAAGCGTGGTTTTTACCGAGGTTTTGGTAATTCAGGTTTCAATTAAAAACTCTTTACCGCAAACACTTGGTAAGTCCGGAATATCCAGGTTTTCCTTATAAGCCTATTTGAAACTTCTCAGTCAAAAGCATGGTAAGCCTGGTTTTCCCAATTACCGATTTTTTTCAGAATCATGTCATAATTATAGCCCTTAGTAGTTTTGAACATTATATCCTTTATTTGATAGGCTAAGTTGTGAGGGTGGGGGGACACTATAAGCGATTCCTGTCATCTTAAAAGGGCTTACCTTGAGTAATAAGAAACAAGCAAATTCCTGCGATAATAACCAGCAAAGGTACCCCGCTTCTAAAGTAGTTCCAGTAAAGGCTTGCGGACACAACCCCGATAACTCGATCTTCTTCTGATAAGCGGAGAGCCTGCGCTTCATGGGGTGCATCTGCACCACCCATGCCAGAAATGCCATTTTTGTCTTCATTATCCTTAACGACAATATCATCCGATTCTTTTGCTTTCTCATACATTGAATCAACCGTTTCATTCAGGATACCACTTTCTTTTAGCTCAGTGAAAGTTCCCTTACCCAACATTCGGCCATTATGTAAAACAATAACGTCGTCGGCTTCTCGCATGACCCTTTCATGGTGGGAGGTTATTAATCGGGTTTTCTGTCCAAGAACGCCTTTGATGCATTCCCTAATGATGTGATTGGCGACTTTAAAGTCCACAGCAGTTAAGGGATCATCCAACAAGTAAAGATCTGCTTCCGCGTAGACTGCGCGTGCTAAACTTACTCTTGCTCTCTGGCCACCACTTAGCACCACTCCACGCTCTCCAACGACTGTTTGGTCACAGTCTGGAAACTTCTTGATGTCTTGATTCAAAGCACATGCTTCAATGACTCTGGTGTACTTAGATTCCTCGTACTGTTCGCCAAATAAAATGTTTTCTTTTATAGTCCCAGAGAATACCCAAGCAATCTGTGGCACATAAACAACAGTGCTTTTGAGGGTAATTGCCCAGTTCTGGTCTGGTACCTCACCAGCAACTGCTAACAGAAGAGTAGATTTTCCACTGCCCACTGGTCCGGTTATAACTGTCAAACCTCCTTTTTCAACTGTGAAGTCGATATCTTGCCGCGAAGATTCGTCGTCCAGAACGACTTGTTGCTTTCGGTCAATAAAATGTCTGACACCTAAGATAGTTGTTTGTTGTTGATCTGGTGACTTGTGAGGTAAAAAGATTTTTTCTGTTCCTTCCTGCTGATATATCACAGTATTAGTTGAATCAAGATTGTCTAAAGAAAGGAAGTCTCGTATTCTTTTCAATGAGACGTAAGCGTCATATGATACCATGAGTCCGTTGGACATTTCCATACAGAAGCTTGATCTAAGCAGATTGATAAAGGAGAGTAACGTGAAGACGTTGACAGGAGTCAGGGGCTGGCCAGTTAGTACAAGAGTGATGACAGTCACCAGGGTCGCCGTTGGTGTTGAAATGTATTGGAGAGCAACAATTCCCGACAAAAGCGCGCTCTTCTTACGGATGAAATTGATTTCACTGCTATAAAAAAAAGGTACGAGGTATAAAAAAAATTGCTTCATTTGTTCTATGGAATTCGTGAATTCGTGAAATTACTTAATTCCAAGTGTTATAATGTACTATACGTTCGAATTTTCAATAATTTTAAAAGTATCTGAGTTCGAAATTTTATCGCTCAGGTTCATATTAGAAGTTTATTTAAAAATTATACAATCTACGTTTCATNCCTAATGATGTGATTGGCGACTTTAAAGTCCACAGCAGTTAAGGGATCATCCAACAAGTAAAGATCTGCTTCCGCGTAGACTGCGCGTGCTAAACTTACTCTTGCTCTCTGGCCACCACTTAGCACCACTCCACGCTCTCCAACGACTGTTTGGTCACAGTCTGGAAACTTCTTGATGTCTTGATTCAAAGCACATGCTTCAATGACTCTGGTGTACTTAGATTCCTCGTACTGTTCGCCAAATAAAATGTTTTCTTTTATAGTCCCAGAGAATACCCAAGCAATCTGTGGCACATAAACAACAGTGCTTTTGAGGGTAATTGCCCAGTTCTGGTCTGGTACCTCACCAGCAACTGCTAACAGAAGAGTAGATTTTCCACTGCCCACTGGTCCGGTTATAACTGTCAAACCTCCTTTTTCAACTGTGAAGTCGATATCTTGCCGCGAAGATTCGTCGTCCAGAACGACTTGTTGCTTTCGGTCAATAAAATGTCTGACACCTAAGATAGTTGTTTGTTGTTGATCTGGTGACTTGTGAGGTAAAAAGATTTTTTCTGTTCCTTCCTGCTGATATATCACAGTATTAGTTGAATCAAGATTGTCTAAAGAAAGGAAGTCTCGTATTCTTTTCAATGAGACGTAAGCGTCATATGATACCATGAGTCCGTTGGACATTTCCATACAGAAGCTTGATCTAAGCAGATTGATAAAGGAGAGTAACGTGAAGACGTTGACAGGAGTCAGGGGCTGGCCAGTTAGTACAAGAGTGATGACAGTCACCAGGGTCGCCGTTGGTGTTGAAATGTATTGGAGAGCAACAATTCCCGACAAAAGCGCGCTCTTCTTACGGATGAAATTGATTTCACTGCTATAAAAAAAAGGTACGAGGTATAAAAAAAATTGCTTCATTTGTTCTATGGAATTCGTGAATTCGTGAAATTACTTAATTCCAAGTGTTATAATGTACTATACGTTCGAATTTTCAATAATTTTAAAAGTATCTGAGGTCGAAATTTTATCGCTCAGGTTCATATTAGAAGTTTATTTAAAAATTATACAATCTACGTTTCATGTCGTCAGCTGTGTTTGAAACCAGTGAGAAAATAGGTTTGCAGACACTTTTGGATGTCTAGTCCTAAAACTTAAAATGTCTCTTCAGTCCAATTATCTTATGTTAAAGTTTCCTTACCTTCGTACGGTCTTAACCTTGTCCCTATATTCATGTTCCCATGCATTTGCTTTGATGGCGCGGATCCAACAAACAACCTGGTTGATCAACGTAATGCGGTGATCAGAAACCGCAGCTGTACGCAGGCGCACTCGTGCTCCAGCATAGGAAAATCCAGCAAAATATGGCATGAATATGCACAGTAAAACAATTCCCATTACAGCCTGCCATCCGATTAGGTAGACCAGAAAAAATGTTACTATCAAGAGTTCTACAATGGATCGAGCTCCCAGAAAAAACAAGTTGAAAGTATCGCCCTCTATTCGCTGAACATCGTTGGATACGAGATCGATAACTCGACCGGATGAAAGTCTCAGCAATGAATCCTTGCTGAGGAGAAGCGTCTGCAAAAAAGTAGAAGGACGGTATAAAGTGCCAAGAAAGTAGGAAGGTATTTATCTTACCTAAATTAATCACTTACTGGAAGAGTTCTCTTACAACCACTTTCCCTGCATAACGACGTATATGGATCGTCAAAATGTTAACATATGCCCGAAGTAGTCAATAGATAAAAACCAGTATCGATTTGTGAATCGATAAATCGATAATAAACGGTATATCTGATTTGATTGATATCGAATGTATTGATCAATCGGTAGAAATCGATGACACGCGTTTTGTTCATCGATTTACCTTGATTTTTATCGATTTAATCGATTTGTACCGAAAGACCATATGTTCTTTTAAAAAACTGAATCCACGCAAACTGTAAATGTATCAACAATTGAGCTGCAATTGAGAGTCCAAGGATCAAACAATTACCTCTTCTTAAAAAAATATTTTAAATATTATAATTTTTTTCTTTGAGACCAGGTTTAAAATCTTCTGATGGGTTATATAGGTCAGGTTAGTAAGCGCCCAATTTGTCACGATTTAGATCTGCCACCCTTTCAAAAGTAACGTCAGTGAAGTTCTAGGTGTGGTTACAAACCGGAGTAATCAATAGATAAAAATCGAAATCGATAAAAGTCTTCAGCAATCAAGGGATTTTCATCGATTGCTATCGGAAAACAATGAAAATCTATCTAGTGAAATCTTTTAACCTGAATTTTAGAAATCCCTTCAAATCGAACGGATGTCTGAATTTCAGGCAAGGAACTTTTTTTTCTTAAAGGTTGTATTCTCGTGATACCTTCTTGCGAGGAACTGAATGTAATTAAATCATTAAACCGAACCGTTTTTGTTATGATGTATACAAAACATATAGGGTTTTAGAGAGAAACTTGTGTTGAAATAGTTTCTCATTTTCATGTTTATCGATCAGTTGTTACTAGTGGATGTGTTTTCTCAGCTGTACTATCTAACTTATGCCAAAAAAAAACAATGGCGGATAGGCAAAGTGATTGATTCTTCGTGGTTTGCATGCTGAAACTCCCCAAGAGAAGGCAATATACAATGGACCTTTTGCTTCTTGCTGCGTTGTGACTCCATTTGCACTATGTTATTCTTATATCAACAAAGAACCAAAAAATTTTCGTTTTTTTTTATTCAGACTAAGAAATATTTTGTTGTGTTAGCAGTTGCTATCGAAAATCAGGCAGCATACGTTTTCTTAATGTTCTACTGAACTTTTTCACTAATTAAAACCTTATCATTGATATTGTTAGATCAAACGGGTCCAAGATATAATGAATTCAGGTGATTGAAAGTTTAGACTTTATTAATACCCGCTAGCCAACATGCCTAAAGTCCGTCTCAGAAAGCCTTCAATGAGTGGTTAAACGGATATTGGGTGTTGAAGGACTGTTAAAGGTTTTTCAGTTGGTTAATATACTTCAAGGTTGTCGAGCAACTCTTTTGAAAGGAGCAGTTTCACTGAAATTTACCTTTCTACCTCAGGTCAGTGAACTGGATCAGTCGAAATGATCCGCAATCCATAGCATTGTATCCCCTTATAGAAGACGGTTTAATTGCCAGACTTTGTGACAGAAAGGTGATTTGAACCAATATATCGTTTCTTGTCCTATTTTATAGTCTGATGTTATGGGTTTGGATGCACTGACTTTCTGTCGCACTCGTTATCGGTTAGTATCTATATCTTTAGTTACCGATCCCTTAAATCCAGTAAACACTTGTTTTAGAGTTATTTTTCTTGTTTGGTTTTTCAGACTTTAAAATCGATATGCCAGAAAAAATACACCTACCTTGCTCTCTTGTTAAATTTTGCCTCAGTGAAACTAAAAAGGGTCTAAACTGAAGAGACAGTTCAAACTTGAATGGCATTCCTCAATTTTGCATTTTTCTTATGACTTAAATCACCATAATTATATTGTGTTGTTATCAATTAACAGAGCATAAAGTTGTCCCTTGCATTCTAGTTTTGATCACAATAAGGTCTGCTTTCGACAAAATGTGATCAAACTGCCAGCTGTAATAAGGATCACGGAGGCCTTCGTCTTTAGCATCTTCAATACAATTTTCCAAAATTTTGGTTTAGCATCATGCATTTTGCTATTAATAGCTGTTTCGTCTGTCCATTTGGCCTAAAGTTTCTGTGTCAAAACCTGGGTATTGTTTCCTTTTTTTAAGAGGTAAAAGATCAGTTTCATCAACAGCACGCTCTCTTCCCATCTTCATCAAAATGTTCAGTGATCCATTGAAAAGAAAGAGTAGAGAAAAAGCTCACGTTTTCTACGAGTACAGAGCTGGTAATCTTTCTGTACCTATTCTCGTCATCTTTCTGGTGAACAAAGGAAAAACGGAAAAAGGAAAATTTTTTAAAATCAAGATATCCAATACAATTTTATAGCCATTGCTATTTTAATACTGTTACACTTAATTTTGTCTGACGAATGACTCCAGACTAAAAAAAGAAATATCGTGAAAATTAAACCTTACGAAATCAATGGGCGAGAACTTGAACGTATTTCGGCTGAAAAGAGTATTACGTGTCTGAATTTTTTTCTTTAGTGTTCTGCACCATTTAACTCCTTTGTCAAGTTATAAAATAAGGCTGCTTTGGCTATTTGTTTGAAGACACGAAAAATTATAATTGTTTTCATAGAGCGCATAGATTTTGCCCCAACTTAAAGACGAAATTTATTTTAATAGGATGATTGGAATATCGGTCCGCAGATTAATAATTCGCTTAACACCAATTCAATGGTTATACTATCAGTTTCGAGATTTTTACACCCTTTTCTGACATAATTGCTCAGTCAGTGTCAGTTATAATTATAGTAATATATAGATTTAGCCAGGGCTAAAAGCGAAGCTCCCGTTAAAAAATTCATAATTTAAATCAAACAATAAACTTGTAATCCACAGATCAGGGCACATTAATGTGACTTTAGAAGCAAAGGCTAAGTGATATTAGAGAAAAATAATTTTACAGTGCAAGAGTGAAACAAATTTTACATCGAGTTAATAGTCTTATTTGTACACCCAAAAATAGCAATCATGTTCGATCAAAGTAGATTAGGCCTGCAAAACAAATAGACCTATTCGTGTATTTTATTTGCATTAGCTGTTGCTCCGTTTAAGAGACCATGGATGATTGGATGACCCCGAAATATAATTTTAAGAAACACACGCGCCACGATAGTCCTTGGTGGCAGCCAATTTACACGATGTATTCCTCTGCCTAAAAGGAAGGCCAAAATAAAAAATCTGGCCGGATTTTTTGTGTTCGACAAGTTTACTTTACAAGTAAATATTGGCGACGAATCTGGTCGCGTGTAAACCAGCCTTTTAAACATACTTTTTCTCATCACGTCTCAGGTAAACGCAGTCCTAGGAGGCCCTTTTTTATCATACAGACCTCGGACAGAATTTTGTTCTTTTTTGCCCTATTTAAACCTATAATTCTGCAGTTTTTCACAATTTTGCAAGACAAATTACACTCATTCAATATCCAGAACGATCAAAGCACGCTCTTCCTTTGCACAACAAATTATAGCATTGACCACTTTATAAAACGTTTTCATGAAGAGAATTCCATAATGCTGGGACTTTTCAGTAAGAAAAATCTGTTGCTATGTGATATGCAGGGTAATAATTATGGGCTTTTAGTGAAAACGATAAAAAAATTCCCAAAACCACCTTTTCGGCCAGCCGGACGGGTTCTCACTTTTGACAGACACCAAATTTGCAGTGCCGATTAATAGAGTTAACATTTACGCTTCAACATGATAGAGAATTTGTTATGTTTAGGTTTTAT